TTAAAATAGAAAAGAAGGCAGACATTCTCTCAAAACCAGCTGGACTAACCAACCTCAGGATCAGGCTTTTCCATAAAGCAGAACCAGCTCTCGTAGGACAGCACCAAAGGAACCCTCAGAAGAGTTCTGGCTAAATCAGCCTTGACAGAAACCTCTGCAAGCACTGTGGCCTTTAAAATAGATTTAATATATCCACCTTTCTAACATCACATCCAGTAACTCACCGTGAAGTGTGAGTTCCAGTGAAGCTCCACTATTCACATACAATGATCCCATGGAGGTGTTTTAAGAGTCACGTTGACATAGCACTTACGGATCCGGTGTAGTTGAAAATGGTCAGTCTGAGGTTAATGGTTGGACTAGATGATCTTCAAGGTCTTTACCAATCCAGATGATTCTGTGATTCATACAGACACACAGTTTGTCGTTGTACTATACCTCCTTGGCCCAGGGAGGCTGACATAAGAGGGTACAGCAGGCACTTTTTTTGTTTAAAATTACTGTTACAGGTCTATAAGTGATATTATCAACGCCATAGATAAAAAAAATCACGTCAGGTTTAACAAAATCATAAGGAATTTAAACCTTGCAAAATTCAGATACATGTTTTTATGTTTGCCATCAGTACTGTTAATATTTTCAATTTCTTCTCTACTTAAAAAACCCAGAAAAATAATAATCTTGGGAGTCTCATCCTAGGATTGAAATATTCTGTCTTTAATATCGAAAAACAGTCTACCCAATTACATACATGGAGAGTCATCATAAGATCACAAGAGTGTGATCACTATCTTTGGGAAGTACGGGGCCAAAGTGCACCATGAACTCCAGGCTTCATGTCAAGGTTTGTACAGCAGACACACTCCTTATGTGTTTCTATGTGAGAAGTCTGTCTATCCGTTCATCAGCCACTTTTTTTTTTTTTTTAATCTGTAGACAGAGATAAGAAACAGGCAGTGTAAAAAGCTTCTCATGTTCTTTTTGGCCAAGACTGTGGATGTAGTTTGCCCCATAAATTTGTTTCAAATGCCCTAGATTAACAAAGAGTTGGAACACATCATTTTCATGATGAGATAACTAATCTGGCTCAGGCTCAAGTATAAAGATGGTAAAATAACACAATCTGACAGCACAAAACGAGGTTCAACTCAACTGAAAATTCTCAATTCAGAAACCTAGTTTAATAATATAATTGAATAAAACATGCACAAAACTTATGGTTTAAAATAAACATCGCTGACATTTTTACAGTCAATAAAATCTTAAGCCATTATTGGTTTAGGCAGCACATTGTGTTTGCTTCAGGGTATAGAGTTTCTGTTTTTAGGGGAAGACTGGTTGCTTGGCAGTGTTACCTGGATATTGCAACGCATACACATCTTAGAAGAGATTTCAAAGTGAAGAAAAAGATCTAATATTTTGTAGAAGTTATCATTTAGCTATTTGCAGGAAATTCTGTAGAAATATAATTATTGTTTAATTCTAAATAACATAACGAATGGAAACAATCTTACCTACCTGTTCACAGAAGAAAAACCACTCAAAAAATTTTATAAATACCAGGGAGGAAAGTCAGTAAGACAGAACTTTATTCGCCTTTCTCTTTACAGGGAAATGAGAAGCACCTCTAGAATGACCTTTTTTTTGCGTTGTAACATACACAAACCATCCATTAAAGGGTCATTCAAAGCATCTGAGTGCTGGTGCTCATACTTAGGGGTTGCAGTCTTGGGCTCTTAATCAGGTAATTGTTATAAGATTTTAAAGAATGTTTTTAATATATTCCTTCTTATTAGATTGAATCACTTTCTGTGCCTACTAGGGGATCTTTTTCAAAATCAACAAATAATTTTAGTGCCAAAAACCACTGCAAGTGTACCCAGTGCTGAGCAGGCTGAAAGATCAATTTGCAACGTAGGTCCAAAGCTGGGGACTTCTCAATTTTTAATAATTGACATAATTTCTAGCTTCTTGAGCTTAAGACTTTAAGACTTTTGCAGTGGCATAAGATGCTGACGAGATGTTTATTTTCAAGCTGCTATGGTAGAGATAGAAGTTTGCTTGGAGTTTTTTTAAATAAATCACAAAAAATGTTCTCAAAACTGCATTGTGCAGAGTAATGGCTGGATTCTATGTTGTTTCATAAGATGTTCCAGATCCATTTCTTATTTTAGAAGTGTTATATTTTTAATGTGGAGAAAGTATGAGCTAGTTTTACTTGGGATTTGGTCCATAAAGATAAGAAAATATTTTTATTTTCTTATTTCCCATAGTGTCCAAATGCATTAATACAAGAGAAGATTTACCCCCTGCTAGCAAATACAGTCAGGCTTCAGCTCACTGGCTCAATAGAAATGTCTAACAGCAAATACAGGATTTTAAATCTGGCTTCCAAAGGAAGAATAAAGCCTCTGAGGTAGATGGACTCTGCACTCAACAGTAGTATTTGTCTGCTACAAAAGATAATCACAGTATACAAAAGCACCGAAGTTTGGTTTTGAGATATAAAAATAAACTACTGCTTTATCTTCTTCTCAAACTGTCAGCCTTTGCCTATTTATTGCACTTTTATCATTATCACAAAGATCTTGATTCCTGAATAAATGTAAAGTTAAAAGAGGAAGAGTTCTGAAAAATATGGGATATTTAAGCCTTCATACTTACCACACATAAACACACACAAACCCAGTAAAAAACTACCAGGTCTCCTGTTAACATTAGGAAAGTAGATGACTCAAAAATAGTGTCCATACATAAATTTCTGTCTTTCGGACCACAGCGTGTGTACTTCCAGTTAAAATTAAAAACTTTAAGTTGTGGACGTTTTTTAAAAATAAGTTTTTTACCGTGATAAACATTAAACTTTTCTCATGATTAGTCTAATTCTCTGGAAGATGCTTTGTGGGAAAATTTCAAGGGTCTTGCTAGCATTTTATAATTTTTAACAACTGTATGTATGCCAGATATGTATAATAACAACTGTAATGTATGCCAGATCCTAAATAAGTGAAATTCAGCATCATTCTGTTAAAATAATCAGAGCAACAGCGTTTGGCACTAGAGAACCCATCTACTGTCAGTTTTAGTTAGCTGAGATTCTGTTCAAACCTTATGCAAGCCACAAGATAGTTAGTCTCCCGCAAAGAAGGGAAAGAATAATAATCCATCAAAGCAGGCATCAGTCACTCATGGGGGAAGGCATATTCTCACCAAATTAATTTGAATTATCAGTAACTCTGGGGTTGAAGTTAAGATAACCACAAGTTTAATCAGTGACTCGAGTCCTGGCAAAATTATAAGCAACTTCTTTCATTTATCAGAGCTGTAATCTCCCTGATGATTCTTAGCATAGTCTCTCTAAAGAGCTGTGATGCCCTATGTAATCAGTTTTATAAAGTTATCTAGATGAAAACTTTTGGTTTAGCGTTGGGCAACATCAAAAGTAGATTGATCAGCGAACGAAACACCCCCTAATCTCTTCTCCAAGTCAAATTCACATTGATATTAAGGTAATTTTATGTTGCTTTTTAGGCCCACTGGAATTTCTTTCACAGCACAGAATAGGATATTCCTGAGCAGTGTTATCCAAATCCGAGTAATTTTGTGCGTAGTTAGAGGCTGTTCAGAATTACTTTGTATGCTAGAAATGACGGATTAAGGCCACTTTTCATTCAGCAACGAAGTCTGATGCATTGATAACAAAACTTCTTTCCTTGGAGAGATACACTAGATCACTTTCACCTCTGTTGAATCTACCAAGAACACTCGGCAAGTAATTATTTTTCTAGTATCTGTTTCTGTTTGTATCATGACCATTCCGCAATACAGGGGATATACTTACAATATTGCTTAGAAAATATTGAGAGTTAAGTCTTTAAATACTGCTGATACCAGAACAGAGAAGGTGTTTTGTTTGGTGATTGGTCTTCTGAACCAGTTTATGGCAAACTGAAGATTGTTAAAATTTTTGTAGATTAACATTGTTTGTTTCAAACTCCTTTGAACTGTATGCCTAAAATATGTGGATAACATTACATAATTTGATACTCTCTATTTCAACTAGATTTCAAAATTCAATGGTTTTAGCTTCTGCTTAGCTGTTACTTTGAGATACTACATGACACAGCATATGCTATTTGTACTTACTGAAAAAATTATTACTAAGACGGTAACTGAATTTTATTAAGAATGTAGTAGCAGGTAAGCACCGTGCTGAGAAATAGCACACACTCACCTCCTTATTTTACTAGTTTTTCTGTTTCCCTCTTGTTCTTTTTTCCCCTTCCCTGCTATGTTCTGAATAGGTCTCTCAGTTGCTACTTGACTATCCGTTGACTTGACCGAAAAGGAATAAGCACCTAGACTTTGAAAGGGTCTGGCTTCTGAGACAGGGCTACTTCATTTCACATTGATTGAACTACTGAGCTGGCAAAGTCAGGCAGCCCAAACTAATACCAGCTTTAGGGATCTCCAGTTCCAGATAACTTCTTTTGGTGTTTATTTAATTTTACTTTTCCCAGCAGGATTTCTTCATGTCTGTTTCTGTATTCTGTTTTACCTTGCTTTATTTTTTTCCTTTTTGGTATTCTGTGCTAGCTAAATTTCTCTGCAGACCTTTGGACAGTTCCTTGGGTTTTTGGCCTCCTGAAAGTTGAATTTATTTGTACCCAGTAAGAGCTGTACACTTTTACCTATATTGTTCTTTAGTTATTTTTGCTTTCAAAGACTCATTTATTAAAAAAACCTATTATTTCCCTTTGTGTATATCTGAAACAGTACTGCAAGCTGTCACACACAAGTAGAAGGAACATCTTTGATTATATATCTCCTTAAAGAAGAGATTAAATAATCACATAGGCCAAAATAAAATTCTGAAGCTATGCTTGAAACAAACTACTAGAGCTGTGCGTGTTATGCAAATTGGAATGAATATAACAAGATTTTCAAAGTAATATAGAAAATAACATGTACATTATAATTTCATGTTTAGTTTACGCAACATGACAAGGTATAAGTAATAAATTAAGTCATAATATACCTCAACACCTTTTAACACAATGGTGTCATTAAAATAGTCATCAAGTCAAGCAGGTGTAATGGAAATAAAACCTTATAAGAAAAAGAGATGTCATTATTTCTAAACAACCATAGTTTTTGGCTAGAGAATTTAGTCCTTGAAAAAGAGTTGAAAATTCAGAAATGGCCTGCAGAGCACTAGAAGTGCAGATGAGATTTCACACCACTAAAATTTTAATCAAAAAGGGTTAATCAGGAGTTGTAGTGAGAATAGGTGAGTAGATGCACGGAAATAAAAAGACAAGTGATGAGGGAAAAGAATAAAAAAGAGACAATACGAGAGAAGAAATGAAGCATAGTTAGTTATTTTTACTAATAAGACGAGTAATATCATTAAAGATTAAAGAGAGGAAAGTGCAGCTGGGTGGTAGCATCATTTAGAGGACTGAGATCAACTCTATCCATCCTTTGTATTCTGTACTAAGGAGTAACTCGCACGCTGATATCGTTTATTACCGTATTAGTATACTGGGCTCTGGCACCTATGCCATCAGCACAATATTATGTGTTTTTATCAGTCAGGAAAGATTTTAAACACAAGCTACTGACATTGTTCAATCTTTGCCATTTGTTATTCAGTCCCGGTAGATAGGGTATGGGTTTTCCCCCTTAACTGAAACTATTCAAAATGATCTCATCTGATTTGTTTTACCCAGGCGCCATCGCTGCCCTCATAAACCCACAAGGATTTATGATAATGGACAACAGCCGTGCCTCACAACAGAGTATGTGGAAAAATATCCCAAGTATAGCAACATCTCTCCTCCCTGGAGCCTTAAGCCGAAACAAGAGTACCAAGTGCATCGTGGGAAAATGGAAGGAATGACAACATTTAAGTAAACATTTTAAAGCAACGTGTTTTACAATTACTCTATAAAGTTTCTCATACTTTCTCTTTCAAGGAGGGGGATCTGAAAATTGTATTGCAATACTTTTCAATATGCAATCATTGCATCATTTACACTTTTAGCATATTTAGACGTATAAATTTTGAGTGTAGAAATACATTTACCACAAAAAAGTAATAAAAAATAGCGAAGCATGCATACAACAAGATTTGCATTCTTTACAGCATCCTTTAACCTGTAAAGGGAAACTAAATTTTTTGTCCTTGTTTTCAGCCTGTTTTGGAAATCTAGGCCTCATCAAGCCTGAAAAAGTTGGCAAGCTGGGGAACTGTCTGTAATACATGTGTGGAATCTGAGATGCTGGGAACATGAAACCTTAAGAAACAGGACCAGAGATTTTTTTTGTTCAGACAGTTCTAAATTATGAGGAGTTTGAAGAAAGCCAACTATAAAGGGGTTCAGCAGGTCTGTCCTGTCAGTGCACAGACTCTGATGTTAAACTTACAAAATTAAAGAACATCTTTCCAAGAATTAGAAGACATCACTCATTCATTATTAATAATGTGACAGGAGTATAAACCTTCACTTTTTCCATTATTATTTTTCTTTTAAGCTACAAGAGAAACAGGCAAAATTCCTCAGTGTATAAAAAAACCCCAAACCAACAAATGGGACACACATAGAAAGGCCAAATGCCATTCTGCAAGATTGGTTGTGTACTGCATATACTGTTTAAGCACCTACATATGTACTATACACCCTCTTAACGTAGCGTGACCGTATAAAAACAATGAAATGCTGTTTTGGATTATACTCCATCCTCCTCATGCAATTATAAATGCTGCCACTTGTAGTAGTTTGATCTTTGCTCTGTTTTTGCCTTCCGGATCATTTCTTTGTAAAATTACAGCAACTTCTAGTCTCCTTTCAGATATTTTAAATAATATTTTTAAACTGGTAATGAGAGTCAGAGTGTTGAAAAGTTGCTTCACCATCTACCTTTGAATAAAGGCTGTATCATGCATCAGAGACCTTAGATTTATGTACTATGGTTTTCTTTCCTTCTTGCTATCCCTCTAACATGTGACATCAGATTGATTTTTCCGAGTAAACATAAGTCATTGTTTTTCTGTATAATGGAAAAATGACAAAAGTGACTCCATCAGAAAAAAAAGTTTTTTAACCAGTGTTTCCTTTTTCCCCACTTCAGATCTGATTATTTACCATATGATATTGTGAAGCGACCTTTTCGGGTACAAGAAGAACATAAACCAAAGACGGGAAAGATAGAACTGGGAACCACATACCAGAGAGATTATAATGCTCATAAAATACAACCAGTGACAATAGTAAGACCCCTAGAGAGAAAACACACTACAGGAGGAAAATTGGATACCATACCAACCTATCAAGGTAATAATATATGCCACCTTTAGAAAGAGAAATAACCAGGATGAAGGTAGTATTCTGAATTGCCTATATTAGAAGCTAGATTTCTTAGTTTGGGCCAGAAAGTAAAGACATACTACAAAGCAGGTGATAATGCCTTAAGATGTTCAGCACTCCAGTTGTTTAGAGGTAACATTTATTGGTTCTAAACAAAAAGCCTTTTCTAAGGTTTTCTTGGCTAGGAGGAGAAATTCTAAGGTTAGTCTGTCTCAGGCAAAAGTTGGTTGTAATCGAAGTGCCAATATATGTTTCAGATAGTTTGAGCTCATGTAACATGTTTTACCAAAGAGTAGGTCAAAGTTGATTTTATATTTCTGGTTTATGTACTGTATAGTATGATCTGTTTTGACAGAAATTATTCTATTATGATGGTCAGCACAAAGGCACTTTTAAGTCATTTTGGCACGTGACCTTGATATACCAGTAGAAAATTTTATACATAAGATGTGTTACTAAATTTGTTACATCTATTGCACTGTAGTCCCAGTTGTAGAAATAAATTATGAGATATGATCTACTAGAGTGATGAAAATCAAGATGTTCCTCATTATGAGAGCCAGTGGTATTGAAAAAATAGTTGAAATAACGAGAATCAGATATGGCTGTTAAAACAGGAGGTTAGAATGCTTGGTGCAAAATGAGCAGAGGAGAGAGTGCAGCGAGAGAAAGTTGGAAAGATAAAACTGGGGAAAAAAGGCTCTTCAAAAAAAGCCAGTTATATTTGAGTAGCTTCTTTAAGCTTAGAAATGCATTTATATTAATACATTCTATTTATACTTATTAATTGTAAATAAATTATGAAGAAATTTAAATATTTCCATTTAGCTTACGTGTAAGTGTAGGTTAGGAAATAATTTAGCCTACTCTCAGCATTTAAGTAAGACACCTTGCAATGGCTTTATTTAAAATGCATGATAGCAGTCCAAGGGAGAGTATCAAGGAGTGAAAAAACACTGGAAGCTGAAGGAAGTACAGTGATTGCAAGACAAAAAATTGATTTCAACTGCCTCTGAAGAAGTTTAGACTGGACAGTAAGTTTTTTAACTGTAGAAAAACAGTCTGTTTGTAAAAAAACCCAGAAGCGAAGAAAAAAAAAAATCCTAACAAGCTTTAAGCTGATGTAATGTTGATACGGAAATTAAGAGAGAGAATTCTTCCAATCAGTAGTGAACATGACCCATTGACCTGTAAGGTTCCTTTCAGCCCTCTATATTTGCATAAACTTCTAAGTAAAATGTAAGATATTGTATATAAAACCTGGATATGGCTATTTTCTGTATAGAACACATGCTAAATACGTACATACAACATTCTCCTTGAGGAAATAGTCCAAACAGGGTATTACATACAATTCTTTTGTCTGTTTTTATCACACCAATAATAGAAGACAGTTTTGTGATACCGCAAACAGGCAGATAACATTATCATTCTCACTTACATCAATTTTCTTTGGTTTGTGAGATTTAATACCGGAAGAATTTGGCTTCATTTTAAAGGAATGGTCTTGAGTAACAGCACTTGTATGGTGAAATTTTGTTTTTGCTTTAAAGATGACTATAGGTCATGGGAAGTTCAAAGAAGGGAACCTAGTAAGGTGGAGCATATGTACCACCCCCCTACAGAGAAATTTGGAAATCCTACTACGTTTCAAGATGACTTTGTTCCTAGGGAACTGATTCCCAGACAAAGTTTTAAGCCTCCACGTGTAGCCAAGCTTTCAGATGTGCCTTTTGATAGTGCTACTAGTCATCGCACTTCTTACATTGCTCATCAACTGGAACCAAAATTCGTCAGATCAAAAGAAGAGTACAAGCCAAGCAACCAACCCTTTGAAGATCTCACAACCCACCGGAATGATTTTAAAGGGCTACCTGGGCAACTTGCAAAAAGCTGCAAGCCTGAAAATGCAAAAGTTGGGTCCAGTGCTCAATTTAATGGAGTCACTGAATTCCAGGATCGTTTTCAGCCATGGTTGGTGTCCTTGCCCGAGGTCCGTAAAACAAAAGAGTACGTGCCACCCCCAGGCAACATGGATTTTAACTCCATGAGCCATCTTGATTACATTAAGCATGAGATTTCTCCTGCTGTCCCCGTAAGACCCGTTTCTAATAGAAGAACCACCAATGCCCCTTTTCAAGGGAATACTACTACGAAAGAAGACTTTAAAGCTTGGAGCATCTGTCGGCAAGAGACTACTAAGAAACAACAGGAAATTCCAAACCCCACGGGCAAGTTTTATGATTTAACTACGTTCAAGTCTCATTACATACCCCATCAGATCATTCCGGTTCAAAGTTTCAAACCTGCATGTGCTGTAGTTCCTAATTCAGCTCCCTTTCAAGATGAAACAATTTATCGCACAGAATATACTCCAAAGAAACAAGATATCTGCCCAGCAAATTACCCATCTCCTCCAGGTTATGTCTATGTAAACACAGATTCTCATGGTCACAAATTCTTCCGCCAGCTTACTCCGGAATTTTCCAAGTCCAATAGTAATCCTATTCCAAAGGAAGTAGCTGTTGTGTCATAATACTTAAATGCATTATTTCAAGCACCCTGGTAAAATAATTGGAATCCTTCTTGTTGTTTCTTGAATAACACTGAAAGCAAATTAAATAATGCAAAGTCTGCTTTTAAAAGCATTGCAACTAACAGCTTGAAGAAAATCAAAGCGAAGCCAGAAGTTTATTACAAGACTAATAAAGATTTGCCAATTTTCCTAAGAATAATGCATTTCACATGGCATCTATTCTTTTTTGATTGTGCATTCTAGTTTTCTTGACTTCACAGATTTCATTATGCTCTATCTCAAGCATATGTATTGTACATTTAATTTTCTGCATCTGCAAATCAAATAATTGTATTTGTGACACAGCAAGTATCTTATGATCACAACTTTGTTTTCATAGTAAGCAAATCATGCTATAATAATTAAATAATTAGCCCATCAGTCCAGTCTCTTCAATAATTTGAGGAATCTGATAAGGTTTTTTCCTTTGTCTTTTGCTGCCCAAACCATAAGATAGCATTCTGTGATACCTAGGCCTTTCTAAAAAACTGGTTTTATCTTTACTCATCATTACTTTTCCTTCATTCCGTTCTGATGAGAGTATAAAGGTCACACTACAATTTCTGATAGCAATTAACAAGAAGTAACCTTGTTCTTTTTCTGTACACATGCTTGAAATCACTCAGACATAAAGGGCAGGTCATTAAACTGCCTCCTAATTTCCTTAATAGTGCTTTTTCAGCCTTACTACCAAAGGAAAAAAAGCTGATGCAAAGCTAAGTATGTGTTCTCCCCACCCAAGAAATTTTTAAACCCAGTGTGCAAATTCAACCAAATTTCACAAAGAGATTTCAACAACGATTGTTTTTCGAGTTGCAAGGCAGATGGTGAGGAAGCAGAGAGAATCAGGGCTCAAAAAGTTAACATCCATCCACCGCAGTTTTTGCTGTCTGATTTTTAAAGCTAAACAGCCAGTTACCACGGCCAAAGCTCACTGCAGAGGCAGTCTGAAGGGCAAAATGGCAGAAAACGAAATGTGTATGTGGAGATAACAGAAAATAGTGTAAACTCTGTTAAAAGAAGTATCAGCCAAGATGCAGAAATCTCTAGAAAGCCTGGCTTCAGTCTGCCTGCTCTCCAAATAATTGCTTGTTACAAACACACAAATTTTTATACAATTGTACATGCAATGATTATGCTTCTGTGTGAGAGACTTAGTCCTTTCTTTATGTATCTTCACCTGATTTGGGGAAATCAAGGTGAACAGATTTCAGCCCTGTTCATGATTTAAGCAAGTCCCAATAAACAGTTCCATGATCAACAGTACTATCTTCTATCACAGTACTCCAGTATGATTTTTTTCAGTATTGCATATCTAGTATTCATTGGTATAGAGCAGTTATTTGGGTTCTGAAGAAATACGTGTTCATACCTCATAAACCACCAATAAAAGGACTAAGATCAATGACGGAAATGTGTTGCAAGGAGCAACTGGATTGTATGCAAGGGAAGAAAGCTGAACTGAATATACAGGCTGTGCGTAAAAGCACTGCATGAGGGAGCTCCAGACATTATTAGAGCATCAGTTACTTTCAGGTAATGTTTGCCTTTGTACTGTGTTTTTGTAACATGACTTACTCTGTTAATGAAGCGATTCAATTAAACTTTTCTCTCTGAAGATTATTCACGTCCCCTGCTGGTAAAGACATATTTTGGATTGGGAGTGAACAAGGGTAATGTAAAGTTGAGATATCCTAAAAGCGGGACAGGAAAAAAAAAACCCACAACAATTCACTGGCAACCTTCTGTACCACAAAAGAAAACAAAGTACAAACACCCTTCTCTTTATGAAACTTGAGTCATTGTCTGGCAACAACTGAGGAAACAAAGTCAAAACTTCACATAGGTTACACCTACCCAAGTCCATATCCTATACACATTCTGGGTCCCTCATGAGAAGTTCACAGAAGCTCCTAATATCCTCCAGCTCTCTTTTCTAGGGAGGAAGAAAACCCATTGAGAAATGCTATCTGAATCCTTGACGTTACGTGTGCCTGCATGTTCTGCTGAACACGGCTCCTCCTCTGGGTCTGTGAGTGAGCCCAGATGCTTTTTTGGAATTTTCACAGCTGTTTTTTTAGTTCTTAAGTCACTTCCCCCCCACTTAAGTTATGGAAAGTCATTTGCTGCCACCTACCAGCACAGTACAAAAATTTGTGAGAGGAAGTGGAGGGCATATTCAGATATATTTAACAGTTCCTGTGCAGATGTGTTCAAAGACTTTTTTAGGGTGGACGGGGTGTATTCCCCTTCAGTTTGCCCTTAATGTTTTCCTCTAAGTTTAACAGTGAAAGAGAGAAGCTTTTATTACGTTACAGTTGAAAGAGCCACACCCTACTGATCGTGCTTCCAGGAAAAGCATCAAATAATATTCTAAACCTTCAGACAGTATTCAATATTTGAGGTGAACTTTTTCATAAGCAACATATTATTGACATGCAGACAGAATGAATAGCAGGCTGGAAAACTAATATTTCTCAAAATAACAGCTGTTAAAAAAGTGTTTTATGATGTCATGTTAAACCAGGTTGTAGAAGCAGAAACGTTACTCATGGATTCAATGGCTCTTCTAAAAGTGCTTTTCATGCACCATGCTATAAGCATGATCCACAGAACTGCTGTACACATTTTTATTTTGATTTTTTTTTTTAAGACTGCACAGAAAGAAGACATTGCTGACACAGAAGGAAAATTAAAGACCCACGCACCTCTGCCAAGGTTACCCTCTAGGATAACTCTGAAATACCACCATTTCATTACTAGACATTTATTTTCAGTTTAATACATTTTTTAAGGCTTTTCTTTTTCATATTATTTATGAAACTCTTGTTTCTAAAGAGCATTACACATATTGGGTATTCTGAAACTTTTTTTCCTGTAGATACTTTCATCACCCACTAAATATAAAACATAGAGCTCTTTCTTTTGGATCTAAAGGAACTCTTCTTAGTGCAGAACATGAAGGCCTGGCTAAGAAATGAAACTTAATTCCACCTTTATACAGAATCCTGATTCTAGATTACAGTGACTCAGATCTGATTTATTTGGATTTTGGCAAATTCTCTTCTCCACTTTTTCTGCCAGGTTACATCTATGTTGCTTCTTAATAGCACTGCAAAGCAGACTGTAACGAAGCTGAGAATCTGTCTGATAAGCTGTCAAAAATAAGAACTAAGCTTTGAAAAAAATCTCAGAATTACAGACATAGTTGATAAAATAACACTTGGAATGAAATCATAGCTACCATGAAAATCACAGTAATAAACAATCTCTGGGTAATCAGTGTTGAATAATCAAACTAGACTTTATTTCAGAAATATCAAAACTACGTTGAAGAAAGCTAAAATCTTCAGTTACTGGAGAAGCAATAAAATAATCTACAGAGGAATGTCATGCCAATCGCAATAACAAACATTTACAGCACTGCTTCTGTATAGCATGCATATTTAATCAAAGGCAAAATTAAAGCAACAAAAAATGCTATGTGTTAACATTTGAAAACTTTAAATATAAAGGAAAAACATGAATAAGAAATTTTGGTAATAAGAAAAAATATATGTCCAAAAATCTTTATTAAACACTGTACAAAACAAAATATTGCACTTTTAAATCAGACAATAAATATCTACAAAAGTATCTTACAAATGTTTTCTTTTAATTTAAAAAAAACTGCTTAAACAATCAAGACCCATTGCTGATTAAAAAGGTAATGATCAGGAATATCCTCTCCTTGCAGTCAGCCTTGGACATAATAGTCCACATTAAACATTTTCTATACAGTAGTGCTAATCTAATTTTCAGTGATGCAAACCCATCGTGCAGGAATGCTGCTTCTAAAACTGTTCTTGCAGCATACCCACTAATCAGCATGTAACGTAGTTCAGTAATGTAACACAAGATCCAGGTCAGTACAAGCATTCAGGCCTGCAATCGGTGCAGTAATTTGGAAACTACCAAACTACAAAACCATGTACCTGGTGCCTCCTGTGGGGGGTCTCTCTGTTTACAGCCCTAGTGAGACAATCTGCAACATGGGAAACAGTTTACCTGGGAATATCATCATCAGAATTTATCAACTTGCAAAAGACTCAAATGGTCAATGGTCATGATGAAAAGTCACTGTGATGGAAAACTGCTCAAAATGGATTTCTTGCACTTGTCTATCTTCATAATTAATAATGATTCCTTGGACATTTTGCCCCATTAAAAGGGGGAGAAAAAGAATTTATTCAAGACAGCAAATCTGACAGCCACGTTTGGCCAGTTATTGGCTCCCCGTTTGTCTTGATGTGCAAGAGAACAGTGCTCACAAATGTTTCATTCACAGCTCTGACAAAGAAGCCTTGTGTGTAATTTAAAATCAGTAGAAAAAGTCTAATCATGCCAGAACTTCAATTGTACTTCAGTGACTGGAGAAGAAGAATAGAAACAATGGAAAATGACACCTCATTTATTCAAAACAGATCTACAGCTGTTTTGAAAATTGTACTAGCATCTACAATTTCTTCTACTGCATACACATAAATACAAGCATGAAAAATTGAATGTACTTCTGTGTATCCATCTGACAGCTAGTATCAGTAAAACGTATCCCGTGAGATCAGCCCTTAAGCTCAAGCTGTTTATGAAAATGAAGTTGCTGGTCAAAAAATTTACAGCTACAAGCCACAGCTTCTATAAATTGAAAAATTGTGTTCAATTTGATAAAACGATAAAACCAAAACCTAGGGGTCAGTAATTGCTGCATTCCAAAATTCTTCAAAGGATTTTGTGACTTTTTCTCATAAGTTAAGGACAGTAGGCACTACCTGGTGCTTTTAGTTAACACTTCTTCCCCCTAATAAAATTATAATGTGATGGCCTGTAAAATTTTACAGATGATGTGCCATGATATTATCTTTCTAATCCAGACACAAAAATGTTTAAAACATTAAGTTCCATTGCAAAGAGTGGATAATAAAAGTTTCCAGAAGAAATACCCTGTCCAGCATATCAATCTGCAGTACTGTTTTTTCATTAGCCCCACGTTTCCATTTAACTGTTATGACTAATGTCTTATTTACAAGTGTATACTTTGAGCAGGCTAGTTTAATGAACCTCTCTTCTCATCTCTTCACTGCAGCATCATGAACTTTCCATAGAAGAGTTACATTTCTTGACATGATTGACAACATCTTTGTTTGTAGGTGTCTATCAAGCATAACTTTAGTTGCTTTACAAATGTACAGTAGTGAGTTGTATCCTTGCACTCGCCTTCTGAAAAATATATTTAAACATTAAAAGGCTTTATAATGGACAAAAGATAAATAGTAGAACTTATCATCGTAATTGTAAACAACTGATGGATTCCTGGTTGGTTTGTCATTATTTAACTACACGTTTCTGGCCAGCAGTGGATTCAAAGCTAAACTAGGTCACAAGTAAGAGGTGTGACTTCATTGCATTCATTTACCTATTGTCTGTTTCAGAAAACTACCCCATCTTTCAGGAATGAACAGCTTGGAGACATGAGTCACAACTGGCACAGTCATGTAGGGAAATGTGCATAAAACAACTTCCTAAATATCCTGTTTCTAAAAGTGCTTTTGAGGCTTTAATATCAAACTGGCCTACTCAGAGAAAAATAACCCCAGGATTATGAAGTGCTCCTTGGAGAGGATAGTTTTACCTTTGATGTACAATCAAATGTTTGCAGAATCATTAGTGTACAACTGTGAGTCATTTCTAATATAACTGCTACAAACTATTACTATGCTCATATAAATAAACATTTACATACTGCCACAGGATGTGACACTGCAGTGTTGCCAGGTCACTGGTCTCTTCCTCCATCCACAGTACTGATCAGCCACAGGTTTGTTACTCTTTCTGTGTACACAGTACACTCGTCTGGACTGAAATCCACTCCCACAGTCCACACTGCAAGGCCTCCAAGGGCCTGTCCTCCAATAGACATCGCATGCCTCTGAAGAACAGTTTCTTCTGACAGGAGACCTGTGGAGGAAAATAAACGGCGGTTACATTTTTACTTTCGTGCTAAACACTTATTCACAGAATGACAGAACCCATGTTGGAAAGGCCTTCTGGAGACTGATTAGCCCACACCCCCTGCTCACAGCACAATAAACTAGACCAGGTCGCTTAAGACCATTTCCGTTTGTGTTTTGAGTATCTCCAAGGATGGAGGCTCCACAACCTCTCTGGCCAACCTGTTTCAGTGTTTGAGAACCCTCAGAGTAAAAAAATTCTTATGTGCAAGTTGAATTTCCTGTATTTCATTTTGTGCTCATTCATCATGCCTCACTCATGAGGAAACAAAAGACAAGGCCTTTAAGCCAATTCCTTAATCCTGGAATAGAAAAAATGTTTTACCTTTAGGAAAACTTAACTGACCCTGAACTGTTGCACACTGGATGCTGCAAGTCCTTTGTGCATAACCTCCCTCCTGAACACAAGTAATATTTCCATGCTGACACTGAACCGCCTCAAGCATTCGAAGCTGCCAAAGTGAAATCCTTGCTCTTAGTAGTAAACGGCAGCTTCACCACGAACTTCAGCCGAGCCAAAACTTAATTGTGCGTGCAGCAAAAATGCTTCAAAATGCTCACTGTTCAGGAGCACTTCTGTAGCAAGAAATAGGAAGAGCTGGGTTCGGTCATCTAGAAACCCGGTAACGATTCCCAGGTATGTACTTGTTACCCATTTATCCCATGCTCTTCATTGCCCTGCCTACGCATTTGGCCTGGAACAAAGTTTTGTGGCCCCAAGCCCTTGGGTTAATTTTATCTTTAAAATCACTC